GACCGTTATCAAATAGTGAGTTTACTTTTATAACATCAACGACGATTCACTCACTCTCAGAAATGCAGCCACTTTGTTCGCGTTCGCTAGTATCTAGGTGAAAAAACGATTTTGTCACCTGGTTGCTAGCGAACAAAGTGGCTGCATTTCTGAGAGTGTTAAGATTAAGTTGAATGCAAACATAAACTTGACATCGTAAGGGACACGACCATGTCATCCTCTTTTCTGTAGTCAAGAACAGCGGATGGATGAATTTCCTTTGTTATCACCCATTATCCATTTTAGCAAATCAAAACTGTTGTTCTGCTAGATGATTGGTTATCCACTTTTGTAGATTGTGCTACTTATGAGAGTGGATGATCGGTCACCCAGTAAAACAGCAGCTTGATTTGCTAGAGTGGCTTCTTTCCATTTCTGACAATTTACAGAAAAGTGGATGACATTGTCGCTCACTTTTCTGATGTCAAGGTTTATGGTGGATAAAATCTAGTCTTTTCAGTCTAGACTTCAAAATTTCAGACATTGAATTTTAGTTGAGCGTCGTGAAGTTTAAGAAGCATGCCACTAAATTTTATTTTTTCTGCAGGTGGCTGCTTTTCTCTCGATGTCATTATTGAATTGCGCAGCAGCAAGAAATCTGTGATTAGATATGAAAAACATATCTTCATTTTTTTTCATACTTTCTATTTTTTGAACGTTCTAAGTTCCTCCTTCTTTGCTATAAAACTCACGAAACAGTAGTCGTGGATGTTTGTGCATCTGAATGGTTTATTAGTCTCATCGACGCCATTTTTCTCATATTGCTTACTAGTATTCCAGCTGTAAGAGTGAAATCGCCTACGATAATAACATCTGTACTGTTACTACTATTGGCATCATTCTCACGATCTCATTATGAATATCCTAATACGTATTTATTAAAAAAAAGTTCTTCTATTGGCACTCGCCAATAGTATTACTAAATTTGTTTACAGCAATGGTATTTCAAAATTATTTTACAATAGTTCTCGAAGATATCGAGAAATACATGGAATAATATTAAATGAAACGAATCTTTTCTAACGATACCCATTGAAATCAATATTTAAAGCAGAAACAATAAATAACATGCAGTGGAAGAGTCAAAATTCACTTGTCGAAACAATTAGAAAACTGATTGAAAGAGAATCACACACATGAATCACAAAAATGAACGAAAAGCGGCCTGTGAGTTTCCACGGACACATTATTATTACTTTTTATGATATCGTTTATATGCTGAATCACAACAAAAACTTTGCTAAATTTGATTTTTTTATGTGTTTTGTTTGTAGATGTATGAATAATAATTAATCTGATATCGACTATGATAGTTATAGTTCGATATTGGTTCAATTCTTATTAGCATTCGTATTTAAAATGTTTCTGAGTGTATTATTATTCGTATGTATTTTCCCATCATTTGCTAATAGTAAATCAGCGGTTAATATTTCTAATTCACCACCATTGTTATTATTAATTTCATTTGACGGTTTCCGATATGATTATCCTGATATTTATACATTAAAAACTTTTCATTCATTACTTGATCGTGGTATTCGTGCTAAATGGATCAACAATAGCTTTGTAACAACAACATTTCCAAATCATTTTACAATAGCTACCGGCCTATTTGAAGAAACCCATGGTGTAGTTAGTAATGATATGTATGATCCTGTACTTAATCTCAGTACAACTTTGGTTCGAATGAATGATACAAAGTGGTGGAGTCAGAACTCATATACTCAACCTATATGGGTAACGAATGAATTACAAAATAATACGAGTGCAGGAGAAGTAAAAAGAAAATCTGGTGTAATTGGATGGCCATCAACTGGTATACCGATTAATGGTTACGCAGCATTTAAAAATGAATTATATGATGAATCGCGCAAATTTGAAACGGTTATCGATCAAATAATTGAATGGTTTAAAGATCCAAATGATCCAATTAATTTCGGTGCGATTTATTACTTTCAACCAGATCGTACAGGTACGAAGAACATTCCACTTTTGGTTAGTATTATAAAAATAAATTCAGTTTTTTTTCAGGTCATATTTACGGTCCAAACTCATCACAAATGAATATCACATTACAAGATTGTGATAGACTATTAGCATATCTGTTAGATAAAATTGATAAAGATCTATATTTAAACGAAAGTTTAAATGTTATTTTAACGTCAGATCATGGTATGACGGAAGTAGATGAAAAACATGTATTGAATTTAGATGATTATATTGATCAAAACTTATATTCTGTTTATGGTGGTATATCACAAGTCAATATATTTCTAACTCCAGGTTAGTTTTAAAACCTCTTGATGAGAAAATCATTAAAAAGCAGATGTTTCCTGATCGATAATCCGGCAGCCTTCTTCAATTAGCTCGAATAATATTCCTTCGGGAAAGAAAGTCGTAAAAAAGTAATGCAAATTTGATCAAATGCACTAGAAAAACTTGATCTGATAGAATGTTTTTGCTTAACATCTCGTTGTTGAACTGAACAGAAGAAAAGCTAATGTAATATGTAGTTTTTTCAATAATTTTTACTTATCTTTTTATTTAGATGCCAATATTGATGAAATATATAAAAAATTGTCAAATAATCTAAATTATGAAGTTTACAAGAAAGATTCGATCCCTAAAGAATATCATTATAAAAATAATGTAAGAATTGGAGATATTATGATTGTTGGTAAACCAGGATATACAATAGTATCTTCTAATACGAATGTTAATTGGACTTTTCATCGTACGTTATTTTAATGGCATTTTTTAGTAATAAAGGTATATAAATGACTGTTTTATGTATTTTTAGATGGTGATCATGGCTATAGTAATATTGAACCGACTATGCATCCAATTTTCTATGCATGGGGACCAGCGTTTAAAAAATCGTTAAATTCTGAACCGTTTCGTAACGTTGACATCTATCCATTGATGTGTTACGTATTAAATATACCTATACGTCCAACAAATGGCAGTATTGATAATGTCAAACATCTATTAAAGAATTATAAAAGTTCATCATTCCTTCAACAACTTATACTACCAGCAAATCAAGCAATACCTAGTAAGTATGATATGAACATATCAACTGATCTAGACTGACAATATAAAACCTTTACTCTTCAAACATTTGGCTAAAAGTGGTAGTGTCTTTTAACATTCAATTATAGTTAAAAAACATGCGAATCAATTCTATCTGCTTTACGATTAACGATTTATTTTACATGTTTATTGATATTTTTAACAGCCATTCTTTTACATTTGTTTAGTTGTAATCATTGTATTGATTAGTGTAACAATAGCTATTGTATACTCCATTGTCTCGTGTGGTCATGCTAAAAAAACAGTAATTATTCAAAAATATGTACCAATTCATTATCAATTACTTGGAAATAATGATGATAAAAAATATACAAATAATTTGGTTATTAGTGATGATGATGAAGGTTGATTAAATAACCCATTTTTTTCCAATACTCATTTTTAGAAGATCTTTATGTTATGATTATGTACGCAAGGGTTCAGCTTCTTTTTCTGACATGCTTACAGGTGATATTATTGTGTGTGTGTGTTTTTCTTGTTCTTATTGACGAATTTTTCTTGTCTCAGTAAAAAAACAAAACACCGATTTGTTGTAAAATTTTATTTTTTGATTTTATTTTTTTGATTTTCTTTATTCTTGAAGACCGGGCATGGACCGGATATTAATTTTTTATAATAGAGAAAAATAAATAAAAATTAAAAATTCGTAATACAATGAATACGGAATGTCTTTTAGTTGAAAAGTTATATGAACAGTAAAATCTAACATACGAAAAAAGTCGTAGAACCGAAGAACAGTCCATGTTTATTGATTCATAAAGATATAACAGATAAAAAAAAATCTGTATTTTAGTCTTTATAATACACAATTTTGGCTATTTATCAGAAAGAAAAAATTCAGCAGTGAAATGAGTAACAACCGGAGAAAAATGGAGTTATTGGTAGATTATGGCAGAAGATCACAAAATAAATAAAGAAAAAAGACATCAAAAGTGAAAGAAAAAATGAGTGATTTATACTAAGCAAATGGTATTTTCTGAATTAATGAAGAAGACATATTTTAAAACAATAACAGTAATTGCCACTACAAAAGCATAAAATGAAATAATTTAAAAATTATTAATTCATTCATATTAATGAACAATATTTTGATGTAATCAAAGAGAACAACGCGACTTCATCTTAAATTTAAATCGACTGAAATAGAACAGATAAAGACATGACTTTCATACATTGTAGATTACAAATATTTTAACTTTCTTAATTTTAACCAACGAATACAAATATATCTTTTCAAGTATTAACTGGAATTAATTTTCAAACTCAGTTGTCCGTCAACTACCTCACACTCAAGATCGCAAAATTAATATAAACGCACTTGCACTCACTGAACGTAATTCATTATTAAATTCTAGTAAAATCTACAAAATCGATATTAATCTGTCGTCCTGAATATCCGGCTGTCTATTGCAGAGAAGACTTCTTTTGAAATTTTATTATACAGGAGAAGTTGATGTACTTATGAATCCTTCATCGAATGCACAATCAACATGTGGTTTATGTCCGGGTAAATCCCGTCCATCTAATTCTTGAAAGGCACTTTTTGCTTCATTCACGGTCCTTTAACGAATGCCCAATCAACATGTAGTTTATGTCCGAGCAAATCCCGTCCATCTAATTCTTGTAAGGCACTTTTTGCTTCATTAAATGTTTCATATTCAACTAAAGCATAGCCTTTAGCATAACCCGTCCGACGATCCAGATTTAAAT